ATACAGTGCATAGTTAAATTATGGCATTTGCTCCTAATGGATGTTGTGATGGCTACCGAATTGGATGGGTTTAAAAGGAGATTGAACAACCTCCTGGAGGATAAGGCTATCAATGGCTATTAGTCATGATTACTGTATAGTGCCTGCACTATCAAAAGTATTATGTTCTGAATACCTGTTCTATACTGGGAAGCGTGGATGGGAGAGAGTGATAGGCACTTATGTCCTAGTCATAGGCTTCCCACGGGTTATCTGGTTGGCCACTGTGAGAACAGAGTGCTGAACGAGATGGGCTATTAGTCTGATCCAGCAGGACTCTTCTTATGTTCCTAACTTGTCCCATTGAGTTCAAAGGAAACTAAAGATTTTAACTCAATGGGGCATTGGAAGAAGCGTCCCATACAGAAGTTTGCTTGTTAATTATTTTATTTCTGTACTGCTCTTCAAAAAAGAAAAAAGAAAAGTGAAGTGGTTCACAAATAATATCATAAAACAGATAATACACACAACTAAAACCAGCCTATTATAATAATAATAATAAAGAACACCAATAATCAAAGAACACCAATAATCAAAGAACACCAAGATATATTGTGTTTCGTAGACCATTCAATCAGTTAGTGGTCTTCATGACCTCCTTAGGTACTGGATAGCTCAGTTGGTTGGTGAGTGGTGCTGATAATGCCATGGTTGCAGGTTCGAACCCCATATGGGACAGCTACAGATTCCTGCATTGTAGGGGGCTGGACTAGATGATCCTCAGGGCCCCTTCCAACTCTACAATTCTATGATTCTATGATTTCTGCCACACCAGCACAGTGACCCAAAGCCCTGAGTGAAGAGCTGCACCTCCAGCAATACATTGCCACAAAGAGGGTGCCACAACCAAAAAAAGCCTTCACTTGCCCAGGGCTGTGACCACAAAGAGGGCTCCCTCCACAGAACTGAACTGGTGGACTGGCAAGTACTGGGAGAGGTGCTGATCTATCAGTTACTTGGGCCAAACCATTTAGGGGATATTCAGCTGCTGCCAGCCAAGTGGGCCAGTTCAGCAGAAGGTCAGGGATGTTGTTAGGGTGTGGCACGTGGGCCCTGGAACTCTTGGCACTTCTCTCTCCTTTTTATTTTTATTTTAAAAAAGCTTTGCTTACAGGGCGACTTCTGAAAGTCAATCTAAACTTAGTCTCTGTATGTATAAAAGAACCTGCGCAAATTGTATGCAAATTTGTGCCATGGTCCTGTGCCCTCGGGTCTTCTAAGGGCCTAGCGGTGCCCTTGATGCTCAAGAAGCCCAGCAGACCTCAATCAGTCCAAAATGACTAGCTAAGATCTTTGGCCGTGTGGCTTGATGAGGATCCTCTCCCACTCCTAAGGTCTGCAGCGGAAAGCTTTTGGCAGGAGGAAAATATGCAAGGGTTAATGGTTTACCCTTCGGTTTCTAATCTTCTCCCAACTTCTGCTTCTACTGCCAGCCTCTCTTTTTCATGTTTACTTTAAAGGGTAAGCCTGTAAGAAAGAAAGAAAGAAGAAGCAAGATGAACCCTCCTTATGGCAATGATTGTGGTTGCATTTCTCATTGACAGGCTGTTCCTGTCTGCCTGCAAATCATTTCCCACCTCCACCCCCTCCTTTTCTCTCTGCCTTTGCAAAATGCACCTCCCTAGGCTGTCAGGCAGATGCCATTTCACTTGTTCCTCTGCTTCCCCAGTGGCCATCTGGAATTGGGTTTTGATTCTTCGTATAATGCAAAATCTCTAATTGCAAGGCCTTCTTCTCAGACACGTTGTTTTCACATACACGCAAACGTAAAGGCACGCACGCGCACGCTTTATTTTATTAAGATTTCTTAACTTGCCTTTCACTACGAGGTCCCAGGGCAGGCTGCAACAGTTTAATCTTATGCCTGTAAAAACAAGTACAGCCCTTCCAAGCAATAGTACAGGATGATACCATATCAGAGGTGGGCAGCTAATTTGTGTTTTACTAGGACCCACCCTCCACCAATCAGAACCAGTGTAAAATAGAGGCTGGTGTGGATGGGACTTACAACTTACAATGAACTTTCAATATACTTCTGAACTACCTCTCAGTCCTTTCACACAAAAAGTCCACTCCTGGTTTTCCTCCAACCTTTCTTTTAGCAGTTTGATTTATTAGTACAGTATTAGTTATTGCTTTTGTTAACCTTTTAGAGTGAGAAATGCTTGCCTGATCTTCTGTAAATCACCAGGCCGGCAATCTTAGCTACTCTTACTTGGCAGTAAGCCCCATTTAACATAGTGGCACGTACTTCCAAGTAAACCACCTTAAGACGGCACTATATTTGCACTAGAACAGGGGTAGCCCATCTGATGTTCTCCAGATGTTGGGCTCCAACTTGTACCAGGCAGCATAACCAGTGTTCAGGGATTATGGAAACTGTAGTCCAGAGTGTACCACATTGGCTACATATGCACTAGAATATTTCAGGTTTATTGGAATAAATTGTGATTCTGGGTGGTTGAGAATTGACCTGCCCACTCAGGAAACCAGTTTGGTGGAGAAGAAAAAGCCACCCTCTGATAAGTGAGCAATGAACTTTGGAAGAGCTGATTAAGTTGTGTGTCTTTTAGGTGTGAATTGCATGGTTACTCACTCGTGTGCAAAGCAGCCCCAAAGAGTCTGCTTAGATGTCACTAGTCTGCAATCCTCAATACATCTGCTAGGGACTAAGTAAGCCTCATTGGATGCTGTGGGACTTACTTCTGGGTAGGACACATTGCCCTGTAAGTCTCCTGGTCACATCACCACCATACATTTAAAGTGCATGGCTTCCTTGAAAGAATCCTGGGAACTATAGTTTGTTAAGTGAATTGTAGCTCTGTGAGGGGTGTGTGGATGTGAACAACGCCTGCTCATCAGTAGCAAAAGAGCCTTTTGTTAATGAGTCTTAGGGCTGATCCACACACACCATACATTTAAAGCACAACCAACGCCTAACCTACCTTGAAGGTTTGTTGTGTGGTGTATATTTTTTTAAAGACTTCTAAAAGGAATCGGAGGGGGGGTGTCTTCTATGGCTGCAGTCACACAGCAGGTCTCCCCCATTTTCATAATGTTTCCCTAATTTGAGCTCCCCCAAATTCCAGAAACACAGAAGCGTATCATGCTAGTTTAATGTTCATTTCTGTGTTGTTCGTTCCCAAATAAAATCTGTGCGCAAAGAACACATAAATGAGTGCTAAGCCTGTTCTATAGTTCACTATGTTGCTAGAAGTGCCCATTATGTTCTCTGGAAGCTCAAAAAGAATATGGAAATTCAGAGTTAGGTAAACTTCTTAAAAAGTGAATACTGTAAACTGCTGTGGGAAGGCAGCCTGCATTGGGTCCATTCATCCTGGCATTATCTGTGAGACTTCCCATTTTTTGTTTATTTTGGACCTCAGCAATGTATTTTCAGCTACCTGGCAAGGAAAGTGGCTTACCTCCCCTCACCCCGCCTGCTTTTTATGTTTTGCATGATGACAGTGGCATTTCCTCTTTCAAAGGGAAGTTGCTTTCTTACAAAAATACTTTGTTGCAAGCATTACAGAAATGCCAGCCAACTGTGGAAGAGTGAATTAAACTCCTTTAAGGGCTGGTGGGGAGGAGGCTGGCACAGGGTGTTTGGGGCAGGTTGGAGGGGGGGGGAGAGAGAGGCTTCCATTAGGAATTTAGAGTGAGTTTAAGAAGGTTGAGACTGCTGTCCTGCCCCATTGAAACCAATGGAACTTACTGCTAAGTAGACTTGCATAAGATGGCACTGAGAGGTGGTAGCAGGGGCTACAGCATCCTTCAAATATGTGAAGTGTGTCTGTGTATATTATGTTTCTGCAAGAGCCTGTTGCACAAACCTGTGGTTTTCTAACCTTCTGGGAAAGGGGTGGGGAATCTTTTTCACCCCGAGGGCCACATTCCCTTGTGGGAAGCTTTCCGGGGGCCACATGTTGCTGGTGGGTGTGGCTAGAGGAGAAAAGATGTGGCTCTTTGTAGGCTACACTGCACACAAGTGCACAACTGCATCGCGCATTGAAAGCACATTCAATGCATGTTGCTCCCTCGACCCAAAGAATCCTGGGGACTCTTAATTTCCCTCTCAGAGCTACAGTTCCACTTGTGACACATCATGCCGTCTTTAGCATATGCGCCGCCGGGGTGGAAAGATCCGCCCAATGCCCCCAAATTTAGTTTAGCTCCCAAATTAACTTTATTATGCTTATGTCGTGTGTAGTAGAGGCCTAAGTACTAAGTAGTTAGTCAAAGAAAATTCTGACAATTAGTGAAAATAAACATTATTTTTTTAACGATTTCTCTAAACAAATTTGAACTGTAAGTGATGAAATTAAAACGCGCCATTGTGAATGACAAGTGCCGCCACTGGCACGGTGCTGGCACATCTTTGGTCAATGAGCGCACGAAGTCAAAAGTCCTTTAGTGAAACATTAGGTATACATTTTGTTAATAGCTAGGTATTTATGTATTTTGTTTTTCTAGCTCGATCAAAATTATTTATTATTTCATAACAGGTAGATAGTAAAGAGCTTAGGTGGCTTCAGCGGTGGGCATCTGGCATCCCCCCCCCAAATTCGGTGCCCGGGTGCCTTGCACCCCCAGGCAAAGACGGCCCTGACATCATGTACTGTGTTCAGATGGTGTCAGAGCCAGAAAACGGATCCTCCAAAGAGGAGCTTAGCACTTTGATAGATTCATATAGCAATAAGCAATCCTTAAGGAAGGGTTGGGGAATCTGCGGCCTGTTGGACTCCATCTCCCATCATCCCAGGCTGTTGGCCATGTTGGCTGGGCTCATGGGAGTTGGAGTCTGACATCTGGAGGGCCACAGGTCCCCCCCCCATCTTCCTTAAGGTATCCTAGGTCCAGGCTCGTTGCGTTTGCAAGCTGTTGGGTTACACATTCTTCAGCTAGTCTTATTTTACCCCACCAGCTTTGTAACCTTTCTTTCGTTTTTTCTCCCCATCCAGATGACATTCGGTTGTTTGGCTTCGTCCGATTCACCACTGGCGATGCCATGAGCAAGAGAGTCAAGTTTGCCCTGATCACATGGATTGGTGAGAGTGTCAGTGGTTTGCAGAGAGCCAAAACTGGGACAGACAAGACTTTGGTTAAAGAAGTAGTACAGGCAAGTTTAACTATTACTAATATTAGTCGTTGTATTGTTGTGTTTCTATACCGTAAACCACCCTGTGACCCTTGGATGAAGGGGGAGGTATATAAATTTAACAAATAATAAAAATAAAAATAGTAGTAGTAGTACCCTACTTGTGTGCCTTTCACAACAGCCTGTATTTACATATGTGTAAGAGGATACGTTTGCATGAACATCCTCATGCATGATCTACATATTAGCCTTGATGTTCCACCTCCACTTGGTAATGGGCCTCCTGGATCTCCAGGTCCTGGAAGTGTATCCATTTCCCCTTTCTCCTGTCTCCATGCTTTGTGGGGAGCATTTGGCTTGACAGTCAAATTGAGGAGGCTAGGCTACTGGCAACTCGGAGTATCTTGCCTTTGACAGTGTTGAATTTTACATCTCCTTGGCATTCTCCTTTAGTCTCCAAAATTTATTTAAGTTACTTTATCTGCTGCTTCTTACCATGGCTTGGTAATGTGCATAATGGCATACCATGGTTTAGCATTGTCACAGGCATGCATACTTCTCTCCTTTCCCCCTTCTCTACCAGGTCCATGAGAAGGAGATCAAGTGCTGCTGCTTCTGTTTTGGATTAACCACAGTTTAATGTGACGACCGGACCCTAAACTGTGGCTAAACTTAGCTACAGTTAGTGAAAACAATCCAGCCTCACAAACTGTGGTTGGCTTGCTTCCACTAACCACATTTAATACTTCTCCCAGTTCATATATCATGATAAGCTTGTGACCACACCAGAGGAGGAAGAAAGGTGCAGACCTGCTGTAACACTTTGCTAAACCATGGGTAGTGAATGTGGTGACGTCAAGATGTTGTGGACTATAACTCCCATCAGCCTCGGACAGAGATGATGGGATTTGTAGTCAATTACATCTGAAGGATAATTTGTTGGCTAAACCATGGCTTAGTGTTACAAGTGAACACAGCTTGTTTTATTGTATTTTATTGTCTTATGTCATTTTATTGTGTGTTGTTGTATGTATGTATTTTTTGGATGCATTTTCCCCAGGATGCAATTTTTAAAAGATAAATTCAGATTTCAAAAGACAGATCTCCTTACTATACATTTAACATGACTGCCCACAATTCCATCTTTCCTGGATTGTTCTGGGCAAACCAGTGAGTGTCACTTGGCCAACCTTGTGCTGTCATATGAACACAGGAAGCTGTCTTACACAGAGTCAAGCCATTGGTCGATCTAACTCAGTGTTGTCTACACTGCCTGGCAGCGGCTCTCCCAGGTCTCAGGCAGGAGTCTTTCTCCCAGTCCTGGGAGAACTTCCATCAACCCTAGCCGGCATGCCCAGTGGTCAGGGATAATGGGAGCCATAGTCCTGAACATTTGGAGGGTGCCAGGTTGGCTGTGTCCCTGCAGCCAACCAAAGGTCCATCTGATCTGAAGTTAAATCCGGTGCCTCTGAGTAAATTGCAAGGTAACCAGGCTTCCCTCTTTCTTTACCACTGAGTCATGGCCCTTTGATTCCAGAAGACTGGAAACACCCCAGATAATTTTGTCTGACTGTGTGCAGGCTCCAGGGGCTGTACTCTCAGTCCAAACTAATTAACAAGCAAGCAGCTTTTAATAGTTAACTAGGATATAGGAACGGCCTCCTGTTTGACGTTGGACGGAAACAGGAAAACAGTGGTGTGTGTGCCTAATCCTTTCCTGATGGGAGTTCATCCTCCCACGGAATCAGCTGCAGTTGCTAATAAGCACAAGACAACTTGTCATTATTTCTTTTAAACACATCAGGGGCAACTTTCAGCCAAAGCTTCCAATATTTTGGAAATAATAGTATATGTTTGTAAACTGCCCTTGTGATCCAAGGGTGAAGGGAGGTAAAGAAACTTAATATATATATATTTCCAAAAAACAGCAGCAGCATTAAATACCCCAACCATTTAAAAGAAAGTAAAATCAAGTGTAACAATAAAGCAACAATATGACTAAAGTGAAACCAGCTGCAAAACAGCAAACTGTAGCAATAAAACAAGAAACCACCATAATATATGTTAAAAGTTGGGAGCGATAAACATGTAAGGGGAAGGGCTGTAGCTCAGTGGTTAGAGCACCTGCTTTTCATGCAAAAGGGCTGGGAGAAACCCTCCTCCCATCTGAAACCCTGGAGAGCTGCTGTCAGTCAGTGTTGGCAGTACTGAACTAGATGAATGTCTCTGTATCAGGCAGATACTATGTTCCTATTCTTGAGATAGTGCTGAAAAGATCTCAAGAGTCAGTGCTGTTTGAGGATCCCTGTAAAGAACATTCTACAGCCAGGGCACCACCACTGATAAGGCCCTGTCTCCATTTGCCACTCAACTACTTATGGGACTAGCAGTAAAAACATAATGTGATATCTTAAGGGTCCTTCAGCAGCTTCAGTCAAAAAGATGCAGAGTGCCCAAGAACTTGTATTTATTTATTTGGAATAGTCAAAGCATACCATCCCTATGGAAATCTGCCTAGAGAAGGAATGGGGGACCCTTTTTTAGCCCAAAAGGCAACCTTCCAGGAGGTGCTTGTTAGTGGTGGATGAGGCCAGAAGAAAATTAGGCACAGTAATCATCTGGCCAGCAGATGATATTCCAGCCATGCAAAAGCCACAGGTTTCTACACACTTGATGCCACCCACTTTTGCTACTGGTGATGCCACCAGAGCTTGTTTTACATAGCTGTTGTTTCAACGGAATGAAGGAGACAGAGGAAGTCCAGCGAAGCTGTGCTTGTATACACAGGACAAACCCCGTTCTAATTCAGAATGTGGCATTTGCACATGTTCTTAATAGCCCCCCCCCAAAAAAACCCCAAGACTTCCAGATTAAGGAACCGTGGCGTCCCTTAGCAATTCTGATTCATTGCAGCAGTCAATGGATCAAATGAGAACTTCGGACGGAACATTTGCTGTCGGCTTCTTCACCTCATTACACAGTCTTTGCCTGCTGCTGCTGTTGTCTTTGTGAAGCGATTCAGGTTGTTGCTGCGTCCCGGCCTCCTGGCCTAAAATAAATGGTCGTGCTTGTTTGTGGTGCCCATACGCTCTGGAACAAACACAAAGGCGGCAATTCATTCCTGGGGCACAGCCGAGGTCAGGATGGGAGGACAGAGAGGTGGGGGCAGAGAGGCGAGCTGAGAGGCTCTTGTCCTCAGAATGTGTGTCTCATGCCTGGAATTTAAGAGGAGCTAGAAACAATGTCTGTGCATAAAACAGAGGGGAAGGATTTCACCAGAAGCTGTGAGCGATGGTCTAGGAAAACTGACATGACCACCCTGCCTCTGGTGTCCTAGTAGCTTCTGATGCTCCAATGAACATGAGAACGGAGCCCTGCTGGATCCAATCAAGTGCCCCAACTAGTCCCACATGCTGCTTCCCATGGTAGCCAACCAGAAGTCTCTGGCAGGGCTTGTAGGCAAGAAACCACATGACATGCAGCAAGGTCAGCAAGAGGCAAGGGCCATAGCTCAGTGGTACAGCATCTGCTTTGCATGCAGAAGGTCCCAGGTTCAATCCCTGGCACCTCCAGGTAGGGCAGGGAGACATCCCTGTCTGAAACCCTGGAGAGTCACTGCTAGTCAGTGTAGACAAGTGTCCTAAGTCCTGTGAGCACATTGTGGTGGTTGGGGGTCCAGATGACGAAGAGTGGGAGGAGATCAGTGTTTTAACCAGGCACTGAAAAACAACATACTTGAAATATTGTACAACTGCTTAAGAGATTTTTTTTTTAAAAAAATACTAAGCAGTGTAATACCTCAGTGCCTAGGACTTGCCGATTGTATGGTCGGCGGTACGAATCCCCGTGGCGGGGTGAGCTCCTGTCGTTCGGTCCCAGCTCCTGCCCACCTAGCAGTTCGAAAGCACCCTTAAGTGTAAGTAGATAAATACGTACCGCTTTAAAGCGGGAAGGTAAACGGCGTTTCCGTGTGCTTCGCTGGTGCAGGCTCGCCAGAGCAGCTTCGTCACGCTGGCCACGTGACTCGGAAGTGTCCTCGGACGGCGCCAGCTCCCGGCCTCTAGAGTGAGATGAGCGCACAACCCTAGAGTCGGACACGACTGGCCTTCGGGCAGGGGTACCTTTACCTTTACCTTTAATTAATAAATACTAGGATACAGATTTAACTGGCTCCAGGCCACTTCAGGCCACATCGGTCAGGGAAGGGCATTTTTCAGCCATCGTGCCATTACAGAGAATGCTCCCAGTATCAGAGTTGCAGTCCAGCAACATCATAGGAAAATAGGAAGCTGCCTTATACCAGATCAGACCATTGGTTCATGTGGCTCAGTATGGTCTACACTGACTGGCAGCAGCTCTCCAGGGTTTCAGGCAAGGGACACTCCGAGCTCTACCTGAAGATGGCAGGGATTGGACCTGGGACCTTTTGCTTGCAATGCACATTCCTTCCCACTGAGTTAAGGATAGCGGTGGGGACCCTTACCCTAATCTCAGGCACAGAACGATTCCTATCACTGAAACGCTTGCACCGCCTCCCTCGATGAGCCTCATGCTTTGCTTTTGTCTCTTGCAGAATTTTGCCAAAGAGTTTGTGATCAGTGACCACAAGGAGCTGGATGAGGATTATATCAAGAGCGAGCTGAAGAAAGCTGGGGGTGCCAATTACGATGCTCAGGCAGAGTAATTGGGGGGGGGGAATGCACTGTGCCTCTCACAGCCACCTGCCTGCATCCAGAAGGGGAGGGAGGGGGGAAAAGCACAATGTATCTTCAAAATCAACACCGGGAGATGAGCGGAGGCCAAGTGGGAGGACCAGCCTCCTTCGTCTTCTGCACCTTCAGAGTCCCTTCCTGCCTCCCAAAGTGGACATTGATTTTTCATTCCATCCAGTGAAACATCTCCTTCATACATGATCTCTCCTTTTTACATTATTGGGTGTTTTGTTTTTTTAAAAAAGAAATTATTATTATTATTATTATTATTGCTTATCTTTTGCTTTTAACAAATGCTACATGGGTACTGGGCTCCATAACACATTGGCTCTGAGACTTTCTTGACAACAGAGCATGTTGACATGTTCCAATCTCAATATTTTGGCAGATCTGTTGTTGCTCTGGGAAGCCTGCAGTTGCAGCATAGGGGGGAAATGTGCATTTTTTGTGAATTCGCACTCGACCTTCCAACTCCCGGACAGAAGTGTTCCCAGGAGCAGTGCATGCAGTTAGTTAGGCACAGTCTGATCATATGCACACTTACTCGGAAGTAAATCTCATTGTGCTCAGTGGGACTTGCAGTGCAATTCTAGAATTGTCTGCTCAGAAGTAAGTCCCAGTGTGTGCAGTGGGGCTTACTCTTAGGAAAGTAGAATTGTAGAGTTGGAAGGAACCCTGAGGATCATCTAGTCCAATCCCCTGCAATGCAGGAATATGCAGCTGTCCCATACAGGGATCAAACTTGCAACCTTGCCATTATCAGCACAAAATCCTAAGCAGGAAAGTAGATATAGGCAGCAATTCTAAGCAAACTTTATGGGGAGTAAGCTCTAGTGAAATCAGCGAGACTTCGGTTCGGGTGAATACAATTGCAGCCTTTACTGTCCTATATGGAACATGTTCTACTGAGTTCAGTGGGTTTTACTCCCAAGCAAGTTTGCAAACGATTGTAACCTTACAGCACAAACCTAAACATGTTTATTCAAAAGTAACTTCCTCTGAATTCAAGACGACTTATTCCTAGGCCCGTGTGTATAGGACCTCAGCTTTAGGCAGCAATCCTATGCACACTTAATTTACCTGGAAGAAAGCCCCACGACACAGCGGGACTTACCTTGGGATAAACAAGCATAGGCGTGTGCTATTAGCAAGTTAGGAGGTTGGGTTTTTTTGTTTTTAAAGTACATTTTGTTCCCCAAGTCTGAGATCAACTCAAGCCAATGCCAGTCAAAATCACATGTTGAATCGAAATATCCAGAAGTGTTGAGTCCTAGTCATGAGAAAACATAAATCTATATTTCAGCTTTTAAAGGAACAAGAAGAAATATAATTTGCCTTAACAAAATTGCTTGGCTCTGTGCTATATATGGGTTCTCCCTCTCTTTTAAACAAAGTGCTTTGTTTTTATTGGATTTTTTTTAAAGGTTTGCTATAATAGCAGTAAACAAGGAAGAAGTAAAATATCTCCTCTTTTGATTGTACTGTTTTGTATGTGTGTGTGTGTTAATTATGCATTTGCATTTTGGATACTGTTGCATATAAGACAAAATATGCAATGGCAGTGGCAACATTTGTTTGAAGGTGCCATTCTGTTTAAGTGTTGCAAGCCACCCCAATCTCTGAGTGGTGCAAGATTCCAGGGGATTCCAGGGTTTGTGTTTTCTTTGGAATGGGGGACAGCTCAGAGTGTGGTGTCTTTATAATATATGGTTTATTTACACATTTATACAACCTGGGAGTAAATACCAATGAATTCAATGGAAACATTTCTAAACATTTCTAAACATTTCTAGTCTCTTACAGCAAAACAACAAAGCACCTTGTGGCACCTGGAAGATGAAGAAACTTACATTTACGTTTGTTAGTCTTTTAGGTGCCACAAGTTTGGTTGAATTCGATAGGACTCACTTCCAAGTAGACATGCATAGGATGATTTTTATCAGGAATAGGGAATCCCTTTCCACTCGAGAGCCACATTTCCTGCGAGGCAACTTTCTGAGGGATGCTTGCAGTGGTGATTAGGACCAGCAGCAAAAGTGGGTGGCAAAACAAAGGTAAATTTTAACTTTATGTAGTCAACTGGTTTCTGCACACCCTCAACCCTGCCTTCCTTTTAGACAAGCAAGAGTTCAGGGTCTCATACAAGCCAGCCAGAGTTATCAAAGTTCAGGGTCACATACAAGCCAGGCAAAAACACTTGGGGGGCCAAGCAGAGCCAGTGCGGGGCAAGGGTGTGTGGCCTGGGAAGAGGTCTGAGAGCCCAGTCAAGAGGCCAGGTGGGTCAGATTCAGTCCCTTGTTCCTGATTCATGAAACAAACCATAGAGCTTTAGAGACATATCTCTCTCTCTCTCTCTCTCTCTCTCTCTCTCTCTCTCTCTCTCTGAATTCTTGTAATCCATAAGTAGTAACCAGAGAAAGAAGTTAGGAGCCACATCAATGCAGTTCTGGAAAGAGATTCTTCTGGGTTATACAATTTTCCCCTTCTTTGCCCTCCATCAATAAGGTGTCCCTAGTGAGGTTGTGTCTCTCGGGAATTTCAGAGTTATGGAAAAAGTCACACTGATCCAAAATGGTGGAAATTGTGTCCTCTGTGGCATAAAGCAATGAAAGCAGCAAAAACAAGGAAAAGGAGAGAGACTCCCTGCCCTTGAGATTGGGGTTGGGGACTTGGGAAAGGGGGAACGATCAAGAAGTGGGGAGCTTTGGAAGGACAATTGAAGTGATGACTTTACCCTCCCTTGGGTCACTATCTTTTTGCAAAGTTTCATCAGAACCCTATGTATGTTTAACTCAGAACGAAGTCTTCCAGGACTTCTTCACAAGTGCATGATTACTGCTGCCTTTGCCTCATTCATGCAACAGCCTTTCAGGGTTGGCCACTGATGTGTCCCTTTCAGAGTCAGCCAAATGACATCTGCTCTCATCTATGGGCAGCCTTACCCCCACAAGAGCTTTCATGGGCACTCGGGTGCCATGTGTGCTCTAGGGCTTCTTTCTTCAAGGAATTAAATGCTGGAGGGAACCCTGCGTGCCTGGCTGCTGAGACGCTTCGCTTCCTGCATTCCTCTTGCTAAGCATCTATGTACCAGTGCACCATGAACTCATCAGTGCAACTCCTCCGGTGTTCAGGGTGCTGAGCAGATGCCTGGCCATTGGATGAACTGAGAAAAGGGCTTGGTAGTGTACATACTACTTTTAAAGCGCATCTTCACCCCACCCTCCAAAAGAAAAATAATAATCCTGAAAAGTTTAGTTTATTAAGGGTGCTGGGAATTGCAGCTCTGTGAACGTAAACTATCGTTCTCAGGGGAGAATGTGATTTAACTGAATGGCGTATTTGCAGCCTTTGGTTCTCATCCCCAATGGGATTCTTTTTAAAAAGAATAAATTAATGGTTGGGAAAGGATTGGAGGAGAGGAGCCACATTCTCAACCTTTGCAATTGGCTGCCCTAGCAGAGGTGTTCCTAGATGCTTTAAAAAACAACACCCCACCATGATTCTGCATAAAATGTGCACACATTAATTCCATCTATTATTACATTTATATCCCTCCTTTTCCTTCAGGGAAGCTCAAAGTTGCATAGATTGTTCTCCAAACAACCCCATGGGGTAGGTTCGGCTGAGAGACAGTGATTGGCCCACAGTGACCCACACAGCAGAGTGGGGGTTTGAACCCTGGTCTCCCAGGTCATCATCCAATACTCTACACCACATTATGTTTATGTATGGAATCAAACTTGGGCCAACTTTCAGAGCAAATAACTGAGGGTGAAGTCCTCACCTCATTTACCTGGGTGTAAGCCCCAGTGGATTCACTAGAACTTCGGGTTTTTGCAACATGATATTGACACAATAACAGTGCATTAGCAGTGGATTTATTTTGCTTTAGTTTGTTCTGCCATGCTTTCCCACATTTCTGCTGCCCAGAGGGGCTGTAATGCAAGAAAAGTGAAATGAAAATAAACCAGAACAATTTGTTGTCCCACAAATTTACAGGATTTCACCACCACGAAGTTGCAGGAAATGCACAGACTGGAAATGAAGCAGGGTGACCACCCAAAAACCTTTGCAGGCACAAGTAATATTTAAAAGCGGGTGACTTCTGATAGCATTAAGGGCACTAATCCTCAGTCCTGGAGGTGGCCTAGCAGAGGGAGCTGCCCTATACTGAATCAGACCATTGGCCCATTGTCTATACTAACTGCCAGAGGCTGTCCAGGGTTTCAGACAGGGAGTCTTTCCTAGGCCTGACCTGGAGATGCTGGGGATTGAACCCGGGACCTTCTGCATGCAAAACGTGGCCTTTACCACTGAGCCTGCCCCCCTACTTGTGACTAGACATGGTTAGGATGGTGCTGTAGCATCTTTAAAAAAATAAAAGAAATGCCAGGAAATTAGGGGCCCTGTGCAAAAGCCTACCTGCTAACACTTTGCCCTATGATTCTCAGGTTTCAACTGAAGACTCCTTGCAATCTATGGAATAACAGCCCCTGACCCACATACAGTTTTTCCGACACCCTGGAGACTGGGAACACATTAAGCTGGATTAATGGTTGGTGGCAAAGCAGGACATAGCGCCTTGGAACCCCATGGAGATGCTCCTAATCTTTCCTCCTCTTAAGCGTCAAGGGTACTTAATACCCAAGTAGGTGGATGGCAATTCCTTGGTAATTATTCTATTTGCTCTGGCTGCTTTTCTGTGTGCTTTTCAAGGCTCCAGTTAATTCTACTGGAGCTTTTACCCAGATCACCTGGAAAAGCAGTGTGTGCCTGTGCAGTCGTATACTGACAAATTCAAGAGTGCAGGGCCCCTTCGTGATACTCACAGTCACGCCCCCCTCACAGCCCCTTCCAAGGATATACAACCCTCTAAGATCACACAATAATCTTATAATTGTGCAAGAATAACAATTAGGGGTGCATTGCAGCAATCATTTCAGATCTCCACATCTTGGCTTTCAGCTAGATCTATTTTCTGTTCACATGCATGGGCAAATGATTTGGGCTTCAATTTCTTTCAGAGTGATGTAAATTTTATTTTATTTAGACATTTTAAAACGTGTGACTTAAAAAAACCCCACATCCCTGCTTTCAGTTTTCCCCATCTAGAGCTGTAGGTCCACCTAGCTTAGTGTCAATTATTGTCAGGGACAAAGAGGAGCAGTGGGAGGCACTGGCTGGGGAACCCCGAAGGGAAACCCCAGAGGAGGAAGGCTCAGACCCTGGGGATTTGTGGTGGGACACTGAGGAGAGGTGG